AGCTGCCATCCCACTGACCTGGGAGCTCACCCAAATACTGGAGAACCGCCTACTTCCATTTACGCAACATTGCAAAAATCAGGCATATCTTGCCTCAAAACGATGCAGAGAAACTAGTCCATGCATTTGTTACTTCAAGGCTGGATTATTGTAACTCTTTATTATCAGGGTGTACCAAGAAGTCAGTTAAGTCGCTTCAGCTGATTCAAAATGCTGCAGCTCGTGTACTAACTAGGGTTGCCAGAAACTGACCATGATCAAAATCGATTATTCGGCAGCCCTGGCGAATAATAATCGATTAATCGACAATGTATTTATTGCAATGCTGCCATTATTAAATACAGGCTACAGCTTGTATTAATAATAGCAGCATTGCAATAAATATTATTATAGCAATTTATTTATTGCAATGCTATTATTAATACAGGCTGTAGCCTGTATTATTAATAATAGCAGCATTGCAATAAATAAATTGTGCGCGCATCGCGCATCTTCAAATAAAGGCAATGGCAGGCACTTTAGACAATAACAACAAATAAACCACCATCATGTAGCCTGTATTAATAATAGCAGCATTGAAATACATTCAATAATTAGCCTATTGCTCCACGAGGAGGAACTCTTTTTACCTGCCGCTTTGTTCATCTTTAGTCGCACGTGTGAGGGAGGGTGGGGGTGGGGGCGGTGTGTAGCGTGCTGCAGCAGCAGTCTGCTCTGCACGCAGGCTTCCTCCAAGTTTACAGTAAAACAAACTGGTGGTGTGACCAATGGCCATTTACAATTGTTAATACTATTACTATTATTAGCATTAGTCTATATTTTGGTTGAAACTAAGCCAGAAAAAAAAACAAAAAACATAAATAATAAAAAAAAAAAATATAAATAAAATCGATTTTTAAAAATAATATTCGATTATGGAGACTGTAACGATTAATCGAATAATCGAATAATCGCTGGCATCCCTAGTACTAACTAGAGTTAGGAAAAGGGACCACATTACTCCAGTTCTGGCTGCCTTACACTGGCTCCCAATAGAACACAGGATATAATTTAAAATGCTTCTTCTCGCCTATAAAGCCCTTATTGGGCAGGCGCCATCTTACCTTAAAGAACTCTACTGTCCTATTAGGGCATTGCGTTCCAAGAATGCAGGGTTGTTGGTTGTTCCTAGAGTCTCTAAAAGTACAATGGGAGCCAGAGCCTTTTCTTATCAAGCTCCACATTTGTGGAATCAGCTTCCAGTTTGTGTTCGGGCGGCAGACACCCTATCCGTTTTTAAGAGTGCGCTTAAGACCTTCCTTTTTGATAAAGCTTATAGTTAGGGCTGATTAGATTCAGCCCCTAGTTTTGCTGATATAGGCTTAGTTTGTTGGGGGACACTTTACTTCTTCCTTCTGTCTGTCTGTACCCGTGTACTCTCATGTTCCGATTAACCCAGCTTCCCCACATTTCTTTTTGGTGTCTATCTACGCCGGGATCCTGAGTTGTGGCTGATCCTGTTGCTGCGGTCCTTGATCATGAGTCCTGGATGGATATCCTCGTGGATTCATCTTCTTATTATAGACACATGCATTTCCAAACATTTGGAATACCTATGTTGTAAATGTATTATCTTTTCAATTTACACACAGTATCTATTGCACATCTGTCCGTCCTGGGAGAGGGATCCCTCCTCTGTTGCTCTCCCCGAGGTTTCTCCCATTTTCCCCTTTAAACTTTGGGTTTTCTCCGGAAGTTTTTCCTTGTACGATGTGAGGGTCTAAGGACAGAGGGTGTCGTATTGTCATACTGATATTCTGTACAAACTGTGAAGCCCACTGAGACAAATGTAACATTTGTGATATTGGGCTATATAAATAAACATTGATTGACATAGATTGATTGGACTCTATGGGTACTACCTTATCATGCAAGCATTCACCTACTGAGATTTCTATAGACGTAGCCGGCCCCGGGTGGGCCTACCTGAATGCGCGCGCATTTCACCTCCGTATAAAAGGAGGCCTCGCTTCCTGACCGCCATCCCTTTCTCTTTAGCGAGCGGAAGTGACACTTAGCTGTAAGACGTATGAGAGAAAGTAAAGAAGTTATTGAAAGAATGGAACCACTCCTGGAGCACCGAACCTGCCCATCGTGCCCTGGCCTGATTGCGGGGGCTGACCCGCACCGCCAGTGCTTCCAGTGCCTGGGGCCGAACCATGCCGAGCAGGGCCTGGGCCAGACACCGGCCTGCATTGTCTGTCGCTCGATTCCACAGCTAGACTGCCGGCATCGTGTCGAGCACTTCCGGAGGAAGCTCGGCCCGCAGGTACAGGTGGAGGATCCGGACCTCGAGGTGGTAAACATGGACGATCTGGACGACGTGCCGTTTGAGTTCACCCTCCCGAGGGACAGGGTGGTCGACTTCGCGGAGGGGGAGGATGACGAGGATGCCTCGTTATCCGACACCTTCTGTTCCGGTGGCCAGGAGGGCCCAGCACTCAGGTCTGCGCGGCTGGACTTCTTCCTTACAGGGCTGGAGGGCTCACCTCACCTGCCTGGGGGCAGGAGGGGGAGAGCCCTCCACACTATAGTCTGTACACACTCTGCACGGGGTCAGTGTCTGAGTGTGGGGGACATGGGGGCACTTGCGCTCTCCCCGTGCTCCTTAGAGACTCGGGAGAGGTGGTGCATAGTGAACCCATACATGGCTGCGGACTTTCTCTGTCTGCCTATAAGTGGACGGGGGGAGCCCTCAGCACTGTTTTCGAGCACACTTTTCGCGATGTAAGCGCGTCAAGGTGTGCTCTTTCAGCCGCAGCCCGGACTTCTCCACGGTTACAACCGAGGGAGAGGTGAGTGAGGCGCAGCGGCTGCTAAAGCCAGTCAGGGACAGTGAGGTGGAACGGTGTGCTGGACGACAGTGCGTGTATACATCGGGGCTCCGCCCACTGTACCCATAGAGTCCAGTAGAGGGCGGAGCCTGTGAGAGATATAACGGGGGGTTATATAACAAGGTTACCCTTGTTATATAAGCACAGACGGAGCCCTCTACTCAGGGGCACTGTCTGTCCTATACCGCTCGCTGAAGAGAGGTGTAGGATGGCGGTCAGGAGGCGAGGCCTCCTTTTATATGGAGGTGAGATGCGCGCGCATTCAGGTAGGCCCGCCCCGGGGCCAGCTACGTCTATAGAGATCTCAGTAGGTGAATGCTTGCATGATAAGGTAGTACCCATAGTCCAGTAGAGGGCTCCGCCTGTGCTTATATAACAAGGGTTACAATACATAAACCCCCGTATCATCACACAGGCCATAAGACTGTTAAACAGCATCCATAACATTCATCCGGCTGCTACTTACAAATTATTTATCTAGTATATCATATTCCAATCACTTGTATATAGACTCTTATTGCACTATTTCACAATTTTGACATTTATTTTTTCTGTGACCTAAAATGTTCATCGTCATAACTACACTGTAGCTACACTGTAGCACAGGGGCCCCGCCGCCCCTGTGTACGCATGATCAATAAAAGCCTTGAACCTTGAAGACACAGCTCCAGAGGGGGCAGCAGGTGGACACAACCAGACAATCAGACAGGAGGGAAACTAAAGACAGGAAGTAAAACTAGACAAGACAGGAAGTAACAGACATAACATTTGGGGTGAACACTTTTCAAAATAAGACAGATCATGACAGGACAAAATAAAACAGGGAAAATTAATACGGATCACAACAAGGCGAAACAGAAAGCAGCAGGTGGAAAGAATCCAACAATCACAAAGGCGGGAAAACACAAAGACAGGAAGTGAAAAAGAACGATTTTCTAAATAAAACAGGAAACCTTGACAGATTATGACAGATAGCAGCTGAATAAAGTTCACATTCTGACTTCTCCTACTTTTCTCTCACACTGCCTTTTTGAAGTGATATGCACTGTTACAGCGGCGAGGGGGATGCGTTATATAACCATGAACTCTCCTGCATATCACTTTCTGTACAAAATTAGACAGAATGACCGAGACGCACAAAAGGAGACACTTCCTGAGGGAGAGACAGAGAGGAGGAGGAGATGAAGACAGGGAGAGGAAATGTTTGACTCTTTCTCATTTGAATCCGTCTCTTCACTGTTGGGACTCCCGGGTGGCTTTCACAAGCGTTTTATGTATAATTCAGCGTAATGTGCAGAGATAAAGCCTCCAATAAAGGCCGAGCTCTCTAAGCTCTTCACAGCGCATTACGTTTTATTCATCAAATTAGTTTTAGTTGGTTTGGTATCCCTTGAGCCGTCTTTAAAAGGTTTGGATGAAAGGACTACATTCATTTTGCCACTAATCAGTTAAGCGACAGCTCCAAGTGACAGCTATGCACTACTTACCCCCAAAATACGTGTTCCGCTGCCGTGCCTTTTTCAGGCTGTTCCATGTATCCCCAGTTAACTCCCCCCCCCAGCGCCGCATGTGTCCCTGCACAGCGCTGCCCTCAGCATCGTGTCACTGTTAGCCCTGACAACACCAATCACTGTCAATACTGTGAAGTAAACCATGCATACTTTATGCATCATTTTAACCAAGTCATTAAAAAGACTGCATGTTACAGTCCTCATTACACATTTACCTCTTCCAAAAACCCTGCGTATGCGTTGATACCTTTCTTTAGAATAGTTATGAAGCAATAACATACTAACAGGCGATTAAACAGCTTTTGTGTTAGAGCTGAATGGGATTTTTAAAAGGGATTTCTCCTTTTATGAAGCAAATGTGGGCACAGCGCAGAAAATTGGGATAACATTTGTAATTATGAGAGATTTTTCTAATAAAACTTAACAGTTCCATGAAAATAACTTGCCAGCAGTTACTCAAAATCAGACGGGACACCAGAGATCTAAAGGTTTCACTAGAACACAATATCAATGTCAATGAACATGTCTCTAAGTGTTTAAGTGTTTCCTGGTAAACACCACACATTACAGGACAATACTAACCTGTGAGGGTAAAGCTAATGGGGGGGGGACTTACTGCAGCAGGGAGTGCTTTGGGAAGCTGAATTTGCCGCAGGAGATGCGGTCCACAAAGTTGAGCGCGATCCTCTGGATTTGCTCACAGTTGAACATGACAAAGTCGTACTTGAAGACAAGGAGAGAGTTGTCTGTGATGAGGACAAGACGCTCTTTTTCATTGTTCCAGTGATCCACCCTGAAACACCAAAAGAGACAGAGTTTGTTAGATCTAGGGGGGGAAATCATGTAATCATATATTGTAATGTTAATCCAAACATGTTATTTGGCTCTCACATTTCTTAAGCATGCTTTACGTGTAGAGGTTTTAACACTGTTTATTGTTTAACCCTCTGAGACCCTTTAAACTGTTGTCACTCTGAAACGGTTTGAGACAGGCAGGTAGTTCCTCTTAAACTACAGAGCCATAAATGAACACACATTCTTGTAAAATATGAGTATACTCTCTTTCTAAAGCTATCCATATGCATATTGATACATTTTCATCCAACATCGTTGTTGTTGATGTTCTCAATCAAACATTTCTGTTGGCTGTTAATATACACAGCTGACAACAACAGAGAGGAAACGGGCGAGAATGAAAGACGTGAAAGCTGAGGCTTTGGACATTACTTTCCAAGGCGGAGAGACAGTGATGGGATGGGCTTATATCACCTATTTATATATACTAGGCTTGTTTGAGACAAGCGAGACTTGCGCAGTTGCGATCAACGTCTTGCTAGTGCGTTGCATGATGGTTAGTCATTTACTTACCGTTTTCATACTTTATAGATCTTAGCATATTCATACACACTGTTCATACTGCTCACAGGCTGCTGTGTATATCTAGTGTATTCATACCCCTCACTGTTTATTCATCATTCAATTCATTCTATATTTTATTCTGTCTATTGTGTACATTACTTTTCACTTTACTGCTTGTTGCACCTGGCTAGAAGCTAAACTGCATTTCGTTGTCTCAGTACCTGTAATATGTGCAATAACAATAAAGTTGATATACTTTATTCATCCCCGTGGGGAAATTGTTTCTCTGCATTTGACCCATCCTAGTGTTAGGAGCAGTGTGCTGCCATTTTGAACGGCGCCCGGGGAGCAGTGTAGGGAACGGTGCCTTGCTCAGGGACACCTCGGTAACACTTGGTCTTGCTGGGACTTGAACTGGTGTCTTTCCAGTTGCCAAGCCAAGTCGCTATCGACTTCGCCACTACCGCCCCAAATTTAATCTAATCTTGAGCAGGAACAAATGTATTTACTTAGTACATATCTGACAATAACGATTAAACACATTTGTGCATTCTTTATAAATGCAAACCGAGTCAAGCCGACTCCGGAGATGGCGGTATGCACCTTAAAGTTGTTTGCAATCCGCCAAAAAACCGAGAGAAGAAGAAGAAGAAGACGAAGCCGACTCCGAGCTGTCCGACTTCAGGCGAGCTTTTTGAGACCTCCCCCGGCTGCGATTGGCTATTCTCGTCTACTTTCGAGGCGAGCCGCAACGCGTCTCAAACAAGCCTAATGTATTGAGGGAGCTATACACTACCTCAAGAGTAGTTTGATTTTACTGCAAGAAATCAGAATTGTATAAAAGTGAAAATGTCTTGATGTGGATCTCAGAGGGTTAATTGAGGACATTTATTTACTAGAAGGATGTGAGTGGAGCTGAGGATGGCTCAACAAAACAAAAGGAATAGGAAATGCTGACCTATTGACCTCAGATTATACATGTGACTCGTTGTGTCTTCTAGTGTGGTGCTAGCATTCTGCAGGAGGTGATTTGATGTTAAAGCAAAAAAAACATGTTTAACAAGCAGCACTACGCTGTGCACAGTACACATATCTAGGGTCAGTCTGTGGGTGATCTGAAGAGCTGCTGGCAATTGGCTTGACACAACAACACAATGGGCTGTGCCGGGCTGAGCTCACTGGCTCTTCTGAAGATTCATATTAAGCATACAATATTTTCCTAGGCCAATACCTTTGTCCCAGTTTATCACCTTGTACTCCCCACGCTGAGCACAGGCCTGTGACTTTAGGCTGCTGCGCTCTCTCTGAGACAGCAGCTTTGTCACCTTGTTATTCCTAGTTAAGGGTCGAGCCCAAGTTGACACAAGATAGTTTGCTGTCTAGGGACATCGGTTAGTCGATTTTATCTGGTGCTGTCTCCCCTTTGGCATATATTCTTAGCTAGGGACAGAATGTGATTTCTCTCTCAGAGCTAAGTACATGGGACTGAGGGACATACAGTTGCAAGAAAAAGTATGTGAACCCTTTGAAATTACCTGGATTTCTGCATAAGTTGGTCATAAAATGTGTTCTGATCTTCATCTAATACACAACAATAGACAAACACAGTCTGCTTAAACTAATACCACACAAACAATTATATGTTGTCATGTTTTTATTGAACACACCATGTAAACATTCACAGTGCAGGGTGGAAAAAGTATGTGAACCCCTAGGCTAAAGACTTCTTCAAGAGCTAATTGGAGTCAGGAGTCAGCCAACCTGGAGTCCAATCAATGAGACGAGATTGGAGGTGTTGGTTAAAGCTGCCCTGCCCTATACAAAATACACACCAGTTTTGAATTTGCTATTCTTAAGAAGCATTGCCAGATGTGAACCATGCCTCGCACAAAAGAGCTCTCAGAAGACCTACCATTAAGAATTGTTGACTTGCATAAAGCTGGAAAGGGATACAAAAGTATCTCTGAAAGCCTTGATGTTCATCAGTCCACGGTAAGACAAGTTGTCTATAAATGGAGAAAGTTCAGCACTGTTGCTACTCTCCCTAGGAGTGGCCGTCCTGTAAAGATGACTGCAAGAGCACAGCGCAGAATGCTCAATGAGGTGAAGAAGAATCCTAGAGTGTCAGCTAGAGACTTAAAGAAATCTCTGGCACATGCTAACATCTCTGTTGACGAATCTACGATACGTAAAACACTGAACAAGAATGGAGTTCATGGGAGGACACCACGGAGGAAGCCACTGCTGTCCAGAAAAAACATTGCTGCACGTTTGAAGTTTGCAAAAGAGCACCTGGATGTTCCACAGCACTACTGGCAAAATATTCTGTGGACAGATGAAACCAAAGTTGAGTTGTTTGGAAGGAACACACAACGCTATGTGTGGAGAATCCAAAGGGTTCACATACTTTTTCTTGCAACTGTATCTTCAGAATTGAGGCAGGAGCTGTGTCACCTCACGGCTGCAGCAAATGTCTTTGTCAATTCTCCGGCCGTAACTGTCAATAAATTATTCAGTGTCTGCCATCAAGTTCCAGTTATTCTGTGTCTCATTGTGTTTCAAGTCCGTGCTCCAGAAGTTTCCATTACAGTGTAAATATGAAATAACTGTCAGCAAGAAAGTGATTTATCGTTTTCCCTGATTATTCCGTCCAATGACCTAGACCAGTGTTTCTCAAACTTTTTCATACCAAGGACCACTTAACCAATAAAAAAAGATTTGCGGACCACCTAACTCCCCAAATATCCAAAAACAATAGGCCTGCTTACCACTCCAACAGTATAACAAAGTACAGCCTAATAATAACTACAGCTGAACTTCTCTATATCGCCTCGTTCACACATTAAATCAACAATACAACTACAGATTATATAAGCATTTAGTTCAAATGCGATTTGAAATGCTCACAGGTTTTACACCTCATATGAAATGTAAACAACATTTATTACGGAGTTTATGTCCAAGCCAACAGACTCACAGATCGTTGGCTACAGAGAGAAATGCAAAATGCATGTAGTACGACACAAACCTCCACTGTGGATTTTCAAAACTAAATACAGTAAAACTATGGTCGCAGGCCCAAGTTTAACTCTCTGAGGTCTAAGCCCTTTTTTCACATGTCGGGACGTTGTGAATCGCGCTGAGCTCCGTGGAGGTGTGGTTTCCTTGTTTAGCGATACACAGCGAAACTCATCCTGAGCACACACAAACTCACAGCCGAAGTAAAAACAATAAGTGTGGCTTGATATTGAGTAAGAAAAAGGTTGATAAACGCTGTGAGAATGGGTCTGCAGAGAGAATTTCGCCGCGATCCCAACTGTCTGTTATCAGCCTGCACAGGGAGGAGAAATCAGAAGAGCTGCCTGCACTGAGTGTGTGTGTGAGGAAGTCTGTGGATTGTTCAATTTGGACCAATCAGCGGGAGCTTAATGTAACGGCTCCGCGGATGAAACGTAACGGCTCCACGGATTGGTCCATTTGGTTCTGGGTACCGCATGACATTAAGCCGTACCCGGAAGAAACATTGGACAATGACGTGTCAGTGACGAATCTTCAACGAGGCGTTTTGTGGAGGTATTTTCTGTGTTACCCCTAGATTCCACCGGGTCCGCCTGCGTCGCGTTACGGCCGCGGCGTTCGCAAAGATCGCGGCCACTCTAGTCAATGGGTGCTATTCCACCACACGCGGCGCGTTACGGCTCGGGGCAACTCTAAAATTAGGATGAATCCTATTTTTGATGCGACGCAGCCGTAAGGTAATGTCGGGCAGGCAGGAAGTGGAACGTTCAGAGCATATATAGCATATATATACACACACACAAACAAATTTTGCAGGCCCTATCCCTCCGTAGTCTTTCAAGTAGGAGCAGAAATGCCAGCGTTCTCCTCCGGTTTACAGGCACTGTGTAAATTATATATATAAAATAATTATGATGATGACTACATTTTTTTACCACTAAAATACAGCAACACATCTTTGATTCATGTCGTTTATAACTGGAAAATTATTATTATTATTAACTTTGTCTGCCCAAATCAACAAAAACTGCGAGCCGGCAGGCAAGACGCTCCGCTGCTGAAATGCGCCCGGTGGTTTATGACGCTAGAGGAAGTGGGACCAAAACCGCGGCGCTGCCGTACCGCGGCGCAGACGGACCCGGTGGAAACTAGGGGTTAGAGTTTTACTCGCTACAGGGTGTACTTTGAGGGTTTTTGACTCTGCAGACCGTTTACATGCATAAAAACCTTCATAACACACAAGGGGACGGGTAATAACTGGAAAAGCATGACCTGGGCCCTTTAAAACATGAACCTTGGTGACCATTGGGCTGGCCTGCATGGTCTGCCTACACAACAAAAATAAAAAAACGTTTTTGCAGCCCCAACAACAGCTTCTGATCATCAACAGACTTCATGTAATGCTTCATTGGATGC